ACCCATAGAAAGGAATATACCATAATTCTCTTAGTTTAGGGTCCTTAAGGTAATGCAGATTTATGTCATCAACAGTACTAGGTTTTCTGTTGGGGTACCAAGTTTCTGTATTTCCGACCTATACTCCAGAACCCACCACGAAGTCCTTTACTCTAAAGTTTATGTACCGTGAAATCATGCATCCCGGAAATCTGTTCACTAAGCGGTAAGCCCAATGCCTAAATCCAAACCCCCCCAAAAACCCAAACTCTAAGACTCTTGAAGCTACATCCAATTCGCTACGATCCTGATCGCTGGCGTGCTCACAGAAGTGAGCACCCGTCAATCCCAATCCCTAAACCCCAAGTCCCCAACATAAGCCCCAAAGCCTAAACCTTAGACCCGAAACCCCACATCCTCTACCCCCAGCCTAAATCCTAGACCCTCAGCCCTCAACCCTAAACCCTGAACCTGAAAACCCTAAACCCTAAACCCTAAACCCTACAGGAGCCACCTAAAAGCACACATTGGACCGAAGAGGCCGTCTTGGGCGCTCCGGGCACATCCACGCCGCTGCAGACGAAAGGGCGGACGGCCACCGCCGTCCACCGGCAACTTCGTGAATGAGGATAAGGGTTTAGGGTTTAGGGTTTAGGGTTTAGGGTTTAGGGTTTAGGGTTTAGGGTTTAGGGTTTTGTTTGAATAGTATGACCCCCTATAACCCTCAGCCCTGAGCCGTCGTTTTCAATCCTCTAGAACTGGAAGTTTGCACTTTTTTGGGGGCCTTGTGAACTCAGCAACTAAGGCAAGCCGTGGCTCTGGCCGCGGAGCTTGGTTTAGTCCAGGGTATGGGTATTATCGATTGTAGGGTTTTTGGTATTTTTTCTTTATGTGGTTTTGGTTTTTGACAGTTTGTAGCGAACTCTGTAGGATGTTATAGGGTTTCTATGGGATTCCTTTAGGGGTTCCGGGGCTTCTTCCATAATGCCGGGGACCTAGCAGTATCAACCTGCTTTCTAAACCCCTACATCCCTAAACCCTGAACCTTAAAACCCGAAGCCCTAAATCCTAAACCCTGATACCTAAACCCTTCAGTTGCTACATCCTGATATATATATATATATACACACACACACACACCCCCGAACGTTTTTTTTATCGCAGTCTGAGCCCAACGGTTTTAGGTTTAGGGTCAATGGTTTAGTGTTTGGGGCCTAGGGTTGGTGGCTTAGGGGCTGATTAAACATGTTGTTTTGGTTGGTGCCCACACCTTACAACCGACCGTTTACTGGTTTAGGGTTTAGGGTTTAGGGGTTTAGGGTTTAGGGTTTAGAGAATCCCTTTATAGTAGCCCTTAGAATGACCTTATGAAGGGAGTGAATCTTTCTGGCCTTACAACCTTCCACACCAAACCCGAAGCCATAAACCCCCAACGCCGAAGCCTTCATCCCTAAGCCAGAAGCCCTGAACCCCGAACCCTAAACCCTGAACCCTAAACCCTGAATTCTAAAAAATCCTAGACCCCAACCTGAGCCCCTCAACCAACTCCTTATCTTATCATTGGGATTTGCGCCCTGTCTTGGAGCTCGTGCCTTTGAGTCTGAGAGACGCGGATATCCAATGCGGGATATGGCTGTTTCCCTTTAAGCTCTCCTTCAAGGGTATTAAGATGTTGGTGTTTCAGGAAATCTGGGTACCCTACCTAGGTTCCCCAGTAGTACCCTGTTGCACTTTTTCTGTGTGAGTTCCCCTAATAAAACCAAACAGTAGGAACAAGGGTACCCTTATTATTCAGGGGCTACTGGGGAACCTAGTTGGGTGCTTAGAATAGAGATCCTACCATCCTGCCATTTGGGATCCTTGATGAGTTGCGGAAACTCGCATTTGGGGTTTGGGGGTTGTGGTTTTGGGGCGTAGTCTAGGATCTCTTCACACTAACTTTTTTTGTAGCATGTATTAAGCAGTTTATGAGTAGCGTGATTCTCATTGCTACTGGTATGCTATCTGCGGTTCTTCAGACTAGTTTACTTTGCAGTCTTGTAGAACATACTCCACGACATGCACTCCTTTAAGGCCTCTTAATAGTAAGGCCAATAGAATTCATAGCTGGAGCTCTTTCCAACCTTTACAGCACCCACGTCAGAGGTTTGGGTTTAGGGTTTCGGGTTTGTAGTGGCTGCATTGGGGTAGTGCTCATCAGAAACTCTGTGCATCTGTTTTGAAAGAGCTGAAGCTGACACTCTATACGCAAATCCTAAACTAAACCCTTATCACAATCAATCCGCAAGGTGATGTTGTATAGCTCCTCCCAGATGGTGCAGAAGGCCGTGGGTGCCTTGGATACTGGGGCCGATTAACGACGCCGAACTTGGCCTTTCATGGAAACCAATGGATGCCCGCTCGCGGCTCGTCGTCCTCTTCCATCCTCGGTGGGTGCTCGAGACGAAGTGCATTTTTCGTTTGGTCGAGGGCCAGATGGAGTCATTATGATGTGGGCGATGCGACTACTCAATCAATATGCCTTGGGGTAGGGAACGTTTTCAAGAGATGCACTGTCAGCCTGCTGAACGGACTTGATTGCAACGGCCATTCATTGTGTATTCACTGTTGCTGTCTTGTTTCAAGCAGCACAGGCTCGATCGCCAATATTTGTGTACGCGAAGCCTTTGCCAAGGGACAGGTCCAAGCACCCACATGCCCGCATTTCGAGAGACACGGGTGAGCTGTCTATGTGGGCCTGCCGCAGAATGCGCATGTCCGCAGAGGCGGAGGGGCATCCAACTCAGAGCCCTTCTTACTCCTCAGTTGCGGGTGATAGGTTTCCACGCCTTTCCTGCAACGTAAGCTCTGTGCAGCAGGTTGAAGACGCTGGCTTTGCTTTTGCTGCCATTCGTGGCCTCTTGGCGGTGGATCCGTCGTGTCATGGGTTTGCACTGGCGGTGACAGTAGCGCCTTGCAGGGTCCGACTTAAGGCTTGCCGGGACTAGGCACCTTGAAGCCTACAGCGTGAACCCCACGGCGTGGTCGAGAGCGCTGCGAAGATCCACACGGCTTCGCGCGTGGGCTGTCCGAAAAGTCCAGCAGAGATGGTCGCTGGGGGGCCCATGGAAGGCGGAGGGCCTATCAAAGTCGCCTTCGGTGCAGGTGGCATAGTTGGCTACCCAGAACAGGACAGGCTACGGGCCCTGGAGCTCGATCGTCTTAACACCGCGACCTTTTCTTCATTCGGAAAACAGTTGCAAGGGTCGCTCCACTACTCAAGCATTTTCCAGTCGGGTCTGTCGTGACTTGGGGTGATACTAAGCATGGTGGCGACAGTAGTGCTGTGCAGGATCAGCTGAAGAATGTGCAGCAGATCCCAGCATCTCACATGGCTTTTGCTGTCCGTCGTGTCCTGGGGTGATGTTGACTATGGCAAGGCTGTCCAGGGTCGGCTGAAGCCTGTGCAACAGATCCAGGCGACTCGGTTTGCTTTTGCTGCCATTCTTGACGATGGCTCCGTGCTGACCTGGGGTGATGCTTGACATGGTGGTGACAGCAGTGCGGTGCAGGATCAACTGCGCAATGTGCGGAGGTCGAGTGCTAACGGCAGTTCCAGTCTTGACTTGGATCCTCCTGGCGTTGGTGGCAGTCGTGTTGTACAGAACCAACGAAAAGTTGTACAACAAAGCGGTGGCGTCAGCTGTTTGCGCCAGCTTCAGCAGTGGGATGTTTGCATCGACAGGTGCAAAAGGACACGTTTTCAAAGGCACTCTGCTCGTATATCGGTGTAACGGTAGCCCCAAACGTTAAAAACCGAGCAGGGCTTGGCATTCGGCGTGCCTTCGGTGCCCAGCTACCACATGGCCGGGGCCTTGGGCTTCAGGGTTTAGGGTTTAGGGATTAGGGCTATTCGGGGTTCCGGAATTAGGGTTTAAGGTTTAGGGCCTGCGGCTTAGGGGTCTTGCAGAGTTGGTTGTTTGTTCGGTTGGGGTTTCATAGTCTTTACAGCGTTATCGTTTGTTTGGGTTCCGACAGGGCTAAGCCCGAAACCCTAGACCCGAAACCCAAAACCCTGGCCTCAGCGGCTCAGCTGCTTAGGGTTTAGGGCTTAGGGATACTAGGTTCTGGAGTACCATACTTGAATGCTTTTTTTTGACCTGTTCCTTCAAGGAGCCGTTATGAAATAAAAGTCTGAAATCTCTTGTCGCCCTTGTTACTTCAAAGTCCAGTGATAGGTTGGGGGCTTTATGTGGGTTCTAAACCCTAAACCCTAAACCCTAAACCCTGAACCCTAACTACGGTCTACGCGGCTTTCGGGGGGCTTTTCAGCTCAGTAGGTTTTATCTGCTGGCCCGCGATTTCGGTGGGTGTATGGAGGGCTCCTTAGGAGATTTGGAGACTGTATACTTCTTAAAGGTTCATGGGGCTTAGTATAGGCTCCGTTTTACAGGGCACTATAGGGTTCTATAATAGGCTTCCCTTAAGGGTTTCGGGTTGATAATTATTAATAGGGCTCCCTTTTAGGGTTCAGGGTTTAGATTCTACTTTAAGGTTTATGGGATTTAGTAACTAGGGCTATAGATGAGGCAACTACACCTATAATTAATTACACCCCACCCCAGTTCAGGTACTTATATCTGTAGTTACTAATATCCCATGAATCTCTGAGTTTGGCCGTAACAGGGGTGTGGTCAGGTTGGGTACTGCCCCCACTCAGCTTAACAGTAGCCCTATTTCAGACTGTTGCGCGTTTGGGGGCAGTGCCCAATGTGTATGTTTTGGCTGTGAACATGGGGATCCATGTCGTCCAGCCTGATGACTGGCTTTCCATCGTTTTTGCTTGTCAGAAGGAGCCTAAACCCCGAGCCCTAAACCCTAAATAGATTTAGAACAAATGATATCACCCAAAACCTTGCTCTCATGATTAAGGCCCCAGAGCAGTTCGGGGCACACGCTCTTATTCAGGTAAGATGCTTGAAGCTCTGAGGCCCTTTTGACTCGAGAATCCTCGAGAATCCTGAAACCCACAAGGGTTTAGGGTGTTAGGGTTTAGGGCTTTAGGGTTTAGTGTCTAGGGTTTTAGGGTATGGGGTTTAGGGTTTTAGGGTTTGGGATCTAGGGCTTCGGGTTTAGGGTTTAAGGCTTAGGGTTTAGGGTTTAGGGTTTAGGGCTTAGGGTTTAGGGTTTAGTAAGGGTTCAGGGCCAGCCAAGGTCACATCGCATGTGCTTGGGCCTGCAGGCAGGTCCGGGGCATCCTTTAGGAGTGTACGTAGACCACTCGGGATTTAGGGTTTAGGGTTTAGGGTTTAGGGTCGGGGAGTTCCGAAAATAGGGGCCCTTACAAATAGTAGGATCCTGGTTACAAAGACCCCAAAATAAGGTACCCCTTCTTTTCGGAAACTCCCACTTAGAACTGCAGCTACTAAGCCCCATGATTCTCCAAGTAGTCCCTGTACTCTGCGCTCTTTAAGGGTCTAGGCCAAGGAAACCCCATCCCTAAACCCTAAACCCTATACCCTATTTGTTGGGGCTTGAGGCTGAAGATTCAAGAACCCCATCTGTAGCCCATAATTTAGGTTGTAGGGTTTAGGGTTTAGGGCTTCGGGTTTAGGGTTTGGGGCTTAGGGTTTAGGCTGCAACACAGCAGGATATGACAGCTATGACTCCCTTTTAATGTCTTAGCCAAAAGGAACCACCCCTGCAAGTGAATCCTACCCTGACCCCAAACAATCCATAACCAACCCTGCAAGTGAATCTTACCCTGACCCCAAACAATCCATAATGAGGAAAACCGTAAGTAGTTTATAGCCGTAATGTTGTGGCCCGTAGACGACGGGGGTTTATTAATCAAGGAGTCTCGGAAGAGGTGGTCCAGTGAAGTATAGAGCATCTTGCTAAACCTGGTGGTATGAAGCACTACGACCTTATAGACCCCTTCTCTTTAAAGCAACCCTGAAAGGAGCCCTTAAAGGAACCCTTAAGCGAATCCTGAAAGGAACCCTTAAGCGAATCCTTAAAGGAGGCCTTAAGCGAATCCTCAAAGCAACCCTTAAGCGAATCCTTCAAGGAACCCTGAAGACAGCCCTTAAAGGAACCCTCAAAAGGATCCTTAAAGGAGCCCTAAACCCTAAACCCTTAAAGGAGCCCTTAAAGGAACCGTGAAACAAGACCCTGACGGAACCCTTAAAGGGCCTGGGGTCTGCAGGCATGCGCTTCGACCCTGAGGCATTGCGTGTATGATTTTGTCTTCAGGGTTCAGAAGGGTTTAGGGTTTAGGGCTTTTTAGGGTTGTCTAGGGTTTAGGAGTTAGTTTAGGGTTTAAGGCGTATTTTTGTGTAACGGTTTTTAGGGTTTTCAGGCGCTTGGTTTAGAGGTTGATACGGATTTGATGATAAGCATTCGATATGGTTCGATAAGGCTTTATTATAGGATCCTGAATAGCATGTCCCTAGGCTTCCCAAACAGGTGTTTCTTATATAGAGTATACCCCGGATCCAACTGTTCTAGTCCCTTTTTCATCGGGATTTTGGAACTGTTCAGGATGGTGGTTACAAGTAGACCCTAAGCGCGAAACCCAAAACCCAAACCCTAGACCTAAAGCCGTAAAAGCTAAACCGAACTACAAGTAGTTTCGAGTTGTCTTAGGCTTAGAGGGTCAATGCCATGGACTCGAGACTTCGGAATTGGTCGAAGCACTCCGCCGTGTGCAGCTTGGGCAGTTGAGGAGTTTGTGATTTAGAAACTTGAAGGTGTTGATATTCGACCTAGATAGCCAAAGGGAGCACTCTAAGCTTTTTGACTTTACATAGTTGGTCTATCTTGGGAAGATTTGAACTTTCCCGGGCCCGGCTAGTCAAGAAGAGAGTCCAAGGTCTTCCACCCGTAGCCCAAAGGAAACACCCAAACCCGAAAAGCCCTAGTTACAGTATCTGGGCGGATGTTGGATCAAATGGACGGATGGGGTTAATGTCATGTAGGGGCCTACATAATTACCAGTACTATTGTTGAGGGGCTCGAATCGCCGGCAACAGCGCCGGAACATCTGCCCCCAGCACGTAGCACGTGCGACTACCGCCATAGCGATTGAATACTCGCCTCCCTGGCATCGTCGGCTGCGTCGGCGAAGATCGCAGGCCCGTGCTGCTCTGCGATCGGGACAAAGGCTGTCACTCAGACAGCAGCAGCTGCTCCTACACCATCACTCGTCTTGCCCTTCCTTGAGGACTACAGTGTTGCGTATGGGCAAGGCAGGCCGACGTAAGCCATGGGGACCTCAATCATCGCAGACGTACTCACAGGATGGGTACTACTCGTGGCGGCTCTGGGATGGGGCCTGGAGCCCGTCCCGACGCACGGCCGAGAGCCGCACGGACGAGTCCTACGCCTTCCCTGCATACGATGCCAAGAGCAGAGAGCAAGCGATGAAGGTGCAGCCAGCCAAGGGAAACGGCAAGACTGCTGGGCAGCGTGCCGACGCGAGCACCCAGGACCCGGGTGCGCATCTCGTGAACGATGTGCAGGAGGTCATCAATCTCACGAGGAAGGCGGAGCAGCGGGTCCGTTCCTTGGCGGGCACAAAGCAGCACAAGCAGTCGCTCTGGACCAAATACCTGGAAGATTTGAAGAACAACTATATCAAGGAGTGTACCAGGCACCAGAGAAGCATGGACAAGCTTGGCGAAGAGCTCGAAGCTGCGGTTCAGGTGCAAGAGGAAGCTCGAGCGAGGCTCCGGGCTGTGGCGCTTGGACAGAGGCAAGAGATGGAGGTCGACGCCGACCACCCTGCAGCGGAATGGGATTCCCTGATCCAGTCTTGGCATGTGGAGCAGCGAGAGACGGACTCGGCGGTGCTACGAAGGGCCTTTGGTGCGGTGGAATCGCCAGGGCCTGCACGGCCTCACAGGGAAGTCCCGGTCACTCCGCCAAGGAGGACGGTGCTTGCGCAGGCACTCACTCCACCTGCTCCTACGCTGGACAAGGGTGGATCTCAGGCGACGCCGAGGCCTGCGGAACTCCCTCCGGACCCGTACCTTGCCTCTCCCAGCCACCCAACGGTCCTCACAGCATCGGCTGCAGATCAAGATCTGGCTGTTGGCCTGGCCCAGGCCCTAGGCGAATATCCCAAGCCAAGGGTAAAGCCCCTGGAGGTGCGCAAGTCTGTCAAACAGCTGCCCTTGGATATCCCACATGTTTCCTCCCCGGCTACTCGTTCTTTTGCGGACAAGTTGGATGCAAAAAGGGCGCATCTGACTCAGCAGGTGGAGTCTGCCATTGGGTCGCTAGACGAGGCGCAGGAGGATGCACCAACGGCCTTGGATCCGGGAGATACGGGCCAGCCGGTGGGATTGGTACGTACCTTGACCATCCAGGACGACGACTTCGAGGAGGAGCTGGATCTGGCGGAAGGCGACGTCGAGTGAGCTCAGCTACTGAGCGGTGTACACTTGTCTGCTCTGGTTGGCAGGAAACCCCTTCTCCTCACCCTGACGGCGGCACTCACAGACTCGTCTGTGATTGCGGACCTGATGGCGGGGATCGAATCGGTGGTCCTTCCTTTCAGGGCGACAGCTGTTGCCGCGTACGCCGCCTCCTTCTTTTTGTACAGAATTGTGTTGTCGATAGTGTAGTTGACTTGACCCCCTCTTCTGCAGTCGCCCTGTTGCGCAACGGCGGGCCTGTTGTTGAAGGGCAAGGCGCCGTGGAATTTGGCTGCCCCCTTCTCCCTTCCCGGCCACATGCCGATTCATCTGTACTGTATAATCGTCTCCCTTCTGGGTTGACCTCTTTGACGGACGTTCTCTCTTGTGAGATTTCCCGTCCCGGCCCCTGCTCTGATTTCTGGATGCTAGTTCATCAGTGTAGGCTGGCCTTTGCCACCGCGGACACGCGGATGCCCTGGGTGCGTGTTTTCTTCGTGTTTGCCCTGTGGTGGTCTGTTGGGCTATTCTTTTGGTCTTGCATGCCGACTCCCGGCACGCCCCTTGTCGGCCTCGGTGTGGCATGGACTATGATTGCCTATTGCGTCGAGCAGACTGCTGTAGGCCGAGGCTTCCAGGCTCTACGGTGGGTTCGGAGTGGCCCGGCTAGGGATGACCGGAGGGCCCCTGCTTACGCTTTGGGCCTTTTCTGCAGCTGTGCCATCTGCGTTCGAATTGTTGCAGGATTAGACCCTGGGAGTGTTGGGGTTTGGATTGAGATGCAAGCTCAGGCTTGGTTGTGCTGTGCGCTTCTTCTCCCGGTCTTTCCCTGTCTTGATGTCCTCTTGGTAGGATTGCGTCGCCGCAAGGTCTCTATGCGCCAGGCACGCAGGTCGCCCCTTCAGTTGGTTGATCGTTGTGTTTTGCTTGGACTCGGACCTGTGGCGACCTCTGCAGGTGTCCTCCCGTGGCATGGCGGACGTCGGCGTCGCACCAACTGCGACCAGACTAAAAGCAGGTGTAGGCATAGCCGGCTCTCTCAGTTATTGGGCTCTTGCTTCTACTTCCTGCTCTGTCAGCCGACCGTGGCTGTCCGACATGAACTTTTTGTGCCCCCGGGATTCTGGTGTATGCTAGGGGTTTCAGTGGGGCCGGCCCTCGCGGCCATTGGAACTGGTGGTGCCGAGGAAGGCGCTGAAGAGCCACGAGCCCCAAGCGCTGGTGAGACTGTTGTCCCTGACCCTCTTCGGCTCCTAGGGTCGGGGCCATCTACCGCGGGCGCCACCAGCTTCGAATTGCTTGCAGAATACCCTGCCTCATCGGGAGAAGGGGCTTTCGAGGACGAGCCATTTCAAAGTCGAGGAGCGGAAGGACTCTTATGGCCGCCTCCTTTCAGCAACTCGGGTCATAATGATGCTGATGTTTGGGCACCCGAGTTCCTTAGGCTCCCCCTCCCTGAAGGGGTAGCGGCCCATGATGCCTCCCCGGACTGGTTGGGTGTCATTGTGCATGCGGCTTACTTCCAGGATACGCATTGGGCCATGCGCGCCGATCGCTCGGCAGGGACCGATGGACTCCTGCACGGCGTGCTCGGGCTTGGCCAAGCTCTTTATGGTGGTGTCTTCAATTCAGCGGTTGCTGTTACTCCCCAGCGCCACACGGCGTACGCCAGTGTGCTTGTGTATCCCGGTTGCATTGCCGATATGGGAGATACGGGGCATGTGGCAGTCATGATGGACCTCACGAGGGTCGGAGGGCACTATTACGCCACGATTTTGCCCAACGGCATTGCCTTCTCGGCGCTGCAGGCTTTCATCTTGCCCCAGATCCGAGCTGATGTGGAGGATTTTCATGCCTTTATCGGGCACAGCCAGCGCCCTTGTGCCCCCGATGAGCGGATCCAGCTGCATCCTGGGCAGGCCATTACGGTTCTAAGGAGGGATGTTCCCCCTCTTGCGACCCTATCTATGAGCGAGATGTTTGTGGTGTCGGCGGTTTGGGGGCCCCTACATCAGATACCTCGCAACTTGGTCACGCCTGCCTTTTGTCTTTGCTTCGCCGATAAGCGGTACCCCCTGCGTCGCCATCACTTCCTTGGGTGCTCGGTACAACAGGCGATATGTCAATTGACTGACCTTGAGGCCGACCAGAGCACTTCTTTTGTTCATAGGGGTATAACTGACTTGGACTTGCAGGGCAATGCTTGCAGTGCCCTCGTACACACGGTGGCCCTGCCCAAACCTGATAGCAGAGCTGACCCCACCAGCCGGCGTCGAGATGTTTTTGTTCTCTGTGACCTTCGTGCTCTAGGAGTTCGCCCCTTCCCGTGGCACTCTCACTCGCGGTCAGTTCATCTTCCCAGTCTCTTGGCCTTGGCCGGTGTTAGTGTGCCTGTTGGCTACGTTCTGGATGTCGAGGGTGGCCTCTGCTTGGGTGATGAGATCTTCGTGGATGGATGCTGCATCTTGCGCTTTACGGCACGCTCTGTTCCGGGACTTGGTGCTGCTCCACACCCAGGAGGTGATGACCGCCCGGACGACGATGACGATGAGCCTCCTTCAGGTCCGGATGGGCCGGATGCTCCGTTTGAGGGGCCCAGCGATGTCTCTATGGACATGGACGAGCCCGCCTCCGGCGCTGCTTCCCTGGCATCTGTTGACGAGGGCGGAGGCGCTAATAGCCCGGACTGTGATGTGGCGAGCTTGCCGCTCTTTCCCAAAGGGTTAATCCCTGAGAACTTCGATGCGGGCATGCTTCTTTTTGCGGCCGAGGTCGAGATGTCCTTTGCTATGATTCGCGAGATGTTCT